AAAGCTCCTTTCACAGTCCATGTTCCATTTAAACTTAGCGTTCTTTTTTATGAGTCAAGTCAAAAGAACAGCTTGGATGAAAAATTCTTTTACAAACTTACGGTAATAACCTGTCATTCTTAGAAAGCTACGAATCTCCTTAACTAAGGTCAATTTCTCTCATCCAAGCACTGCCTTAACTTTTTCAGGATTCACTGATACTTCATCCCTTGATATGATGTGTCCTAGAAAGTTAGTCTACTCGAGTCAGAACTCATACTTATTCAATTTTGCATACAGTTTCTTCTCCCTAAGAACTTGAGTCATGTAGTGAGCGTGTTCCTCTCTGCTCTTTGAATATATCAGGATATCATCGATAAACACAATGACGAACTAATTCAAGAATTATCTGAAAAACTCTGTTCATCAAGTCCATAAAAATGGTTGATGCTTAATTAGTTCAAAGGGCATGACTAGGAACTCCTAATGTCCATACTTGGTTCTAAAAGCTATCTTAGAAATATCCTATGCCATGATCCTTACCTAGTGGTAGCCCGAACGCAAATTTATTTTGGAGAAGACTTGGGCACCTTGCAACTGGTCAAAAAAGTCATCAATTCTGGGGAGGGAGTACTTGTTCTTGATGGTGACCATGTTCAATCCCCTATAATCAATACATAATCTTAATGTCCAATTCCTTTTCCTTACAAATATGACTCCAGCACCCCAAAAAGACATATTATGTCAAATGAACCAACTATCCTACAATTCATTGATATTTCCTCAATTCTTTCATCCCAACATGGCTCATGCGGTAAGGCACTGAGACTTGGCTGGGTGTTGGGTTAAAGATCTACAGTAAATTCAATTTTTCTATCCATAAGCAATCCTGATATTTCATCAAGAAACATGTTCGAAGAATCTCATACCACAAGAATTGCTTGTTTTGTATCACGTCCGGGTTGACTTCAGTATCTTGCTGGGTGAGGGTATAGATTATACCCAAGACTGGAGGTCTGGCCTGATTTTTTATTCATAGACCATCTCTCGCGTAGTGTTGCATACTTCTGCAGATGAGGTAGGTGTTGTTGAGGTGATAACAGGGTTGATCCCCGTGGTCCTTACCGCAGTGCTTGCAAGTCCTGTTTAAGAGGACCTGAATTGTGCTGGAGAGGGATCGGGTGGCTCTGTGGTGGTGTCGGATGATTCGATGAAGATGTTGGGTTGTACTGTGGCAGTGCCACATGATATGGTGGAGGGGCAGGGTTGTATCGAGATGGCACTAAATCCTTTCGTTGTAGGAGTGGCTCATATTATGGTAGTAGTAGAGGGTTAGACAGCTCCCTCATTTCTTTCCTGACATGCTGGGTAGAGATGAGTCTCTCTAACATCCCGAAGAGCCATCGACATCCTCTCAAAATGACCCATCTTGGGCTACCTTGTTCAGTAGGGGTCTTCCTCTCCTCATGTCCTTGTACTTACTTTTCACAACGAAGGCTTAAGAGTGATAGTTTGTATTTTGGTATTTTTAAGTGTTTATGTAATGAATAGTTCTGAAAAACGCGGCTTTAATACCAACTATAGAGGCCCGAAACTTAAAGGAATGCGGAAGCGATTAATGGATTTAGGATTTACATTTCTTACACAATAATTTTGAATGCTCAATAGGGCTACGGGAATGGTTCATCTAAAAGACAAATAGAAATTAAAAGAAATAAAATAAAAAGCCAATAACTAAGTATCGTAGGACAACCTTCACTAGAACTTGAAGGGGGTCCGAATAGTGAACTACTGACAACCCTCTTGCTGATCAGAATCTAGATCTTGATTCTTTTGATATGAAATAGTTAATAAAAGGGTGAGATACACTAACTCAGTAAAAATATCACACTACTTACATATACGAAAAACTAAAGATTAGTAAAAAAATCAGAAAAACAACTAATAGAGTCCTAATTTTATTTAAATACATTTAAACTTGAAGATATTTGTTTAATACTTACCATAA